ACGAGCTTCACAAGCAGGAGATGGTAAAATTGAACTTTTGCTGCTCAATGCGCTGCATCAACCAATCATAGAAACTGATCTGGGAGCTGGCAGGGAGACAGACACAGCACTGCTAATGCAGAACGCCATGATCTCTCCTCTGAAACGGTTTATTAACGCCTAAATTAACTTAAAATGTCGAAACCTGCTGGCAAAATATGTTTGATTTTATTATTCTGGTGCCTGCAGTTTGCAACAAATACTTGAAAAACGCCAACATCTACTTCCAGCCACCACGAAAAGTAGCGGAAACGCGCCCCAACTGCTGCTTAAATGATCGCCCACAGCAGTTAGTGGGTGAAATAATATTTTAAGGCAGGATCGTAATCTTGAACTGACTGCACAGACGATGATTTCAGCTGGACTTTCTCACTTAAAAATATATTAAAACTACTTTTTAACCACTGATCACAGCAGATATAGCAATGCCTCAAGAGCATCAAACATTCTCTTCAGGCTGGTCTGACCTTAATGTGTATAAGAATCAAAAATGAAGCTTCAGCCGTTTTTTTTGCTGCCCACAGCTCATCCAGTGTGAATATAGTATGAGTAACTATTTAACTGACCGACCTGCAACCAGTTTGCTCTTGCGTGAAGCCTCTGATGCCAGCGCATAGGAGACGCTCATGATCCTCTTCTGCTGCTGCATAGCAGAGTCCAGCTCGCTGAAATCTACAGATGCTGACGGCTGGATGTTCTGAACACTGAGGGAAAATGCACACAAGGGTTCTTTAATAAAATCAGCCTCATCTTAAGGTTCAGGTTAGTCATGCAGGATGAGGATACCTGGACTTGGTGAGAAGGTTCTTGATGCGCTCAGCCCGGCGGGAGCGTTCCTCCTGCTCCTCTGGACTGAGAGGCTCGTCCGGATCGGACTCTACGTATCGTTCTGGGATGAAAACCTTGTCTGGTTTGGAAAGCTGCACGAAATAGAAAAGAGAGATTTTTTACATCTGCCAAACAGACGGTTAATAGGATATAGAAAAAAGATGAATATATTTTCTCTAATAACCAAAAGCAAACCAATCTTTGGAATAAATGTATTTACAGCTCTACTGAATCCGTTGGACACGCTCACAATGGACGCCATGTGAATTAAGGGCTTCTGATGGAGCATTTGGTTGTTGTTTTTTCAGTTAAATGACAAACAGGATGTTATTTTTCCGGGTGGATCATCAAAATAAGTGGTTCTCCTAATTGTCAATCATTCTGGTGATATGATTACGTAAGGCCGTCCTACGTGCTCGTCTCCATCTTCACTTACCGGATGTGAGTCTGACATAGTAGGAAAATTGCAAATCTGCTTTTGGCAAGTAAATTTGTATGATCAATGCAAACAGCAACTTTAAAACAGAGTGTACACGAGGAGAAATGGGCTCGTGCATCTTTTCACATACATAGGCGTTCCCTCTCAAGAGCAGCAACATGGTTGTGCATGTGCTTTTTTTGTTTTAAAGTGGAGAGGGAGGTCTTTAGATAAAAAAAAAAAATCACAAAAATTCTCCACTATAACTTAAAGTAAATGTGAGCGATTTTACCAGACTACACATGTTGTGTAGCGGCCATCTTCTGACCCAGATTCTTCCCTCCTTTCAATTCATCAGTTAAATAAATAGTTTCGATCGAATTATTCCAGAAGCTTCCATCAGCCTCAGTCATATAATTCAAAACAAGCCCCAATGTTTCCGTTGTCCCTTAATATTGTTTCCAATTTGCCTCAAACTTTGACCCATGATGAAAGGAAATCAGTTAGGATGTTCAGGAATCAACGCCACCATGGCCCAAAATTGCCTCATGTTCACAGGAGACACAGATGGAGGCGTTTGGCTACAGTGACGGGGAAATGATTAGAGGAGTCATCAAAAAGCTGTCAAACCTAAGAAAGCAACTGTTAAACACGGTGTGGGAGGCGTCATGCTGTCGTGTTGCTGCCAGTAAAATACTGTCTTTCAATATATCCACCTCCAGATTCCTTAGTTTCCCAGAAGTCTACATGCAGAGGTGAATCTGGTTCAGCTATCAGCTAACAGCAGGGCTAATTAGCATTTTTTCTAACTTGTAAAAGCATTAGTGGGCTACTTAACTTCCGCTTAATCAGGGAAGATTGTTACTTTCCGTCATCAGCATGAAGAGTCTGTTAGGTTTCCTGAGAGCTTTCTACTCATTATGCAACATGCATCATTCCACATAGACGGCTGTTACTCTCGAACGATGCAAGCTGCAGGAAAATCATAGCTTTAATTCTGCAGCTTTTTGCAGCTCTGAGGTCGCTTCTAGGGCGGCAGTTCAGAGATAACCTGTAACGATTATCTGACAGTGACCACACAGGAGAACCATGCGCAATAAAACAGGAACCACTACAACCTATGCCATGTCAGAAATAATGGCAGTGACTCTGAATGCTGCTGATAAACAGAGATTATTGAATCAATTCTTTTTAGGGATAGTCGGCCCTATCTGCTCTGATCAGAGCAAACAAACCGCGACACAGAGCTTCATCACAGCTGCAAACTGGTGCTGCTTTTGTTATGCACCTGTGAGATCTGTTATCATTCTATGTTTGGAGATTGATGAATAATTAGAGCAGGAAGAAAAATCATATTTCTACAGATGATTAAAACAAAACAAAATTTTTCTTCCTGCTGGGTTATTTCTTTATGCGCTCAATAATTAAGTACGTTTTGCCAAAAAGATTCTCATTCAGGTTTGATTAAAGATATTTAAAAATAGAAATAACTCTAAATCACTTAACTATTTACTGGTAAAGACATTTAACTGTAGGGCTAAAAAGTTCATCCTGCAGTCAAACAGCTGATTTTGTTTGCTTATATTTAGGAGGCAGATTTATTTCTGAAATAAAGCTGAGATGTTTAAACATTTCTGTAAACTAGCATCCTAAGGTTGGATTCTTTATCCCCCAATAATTTGTTTAAATGTCTCCGGAAGCAAAGACTTAAGGCCAACGCTGATCTGGGGCATGCTGATAACGCTGCTTATTGTCATCTGTCCATGGTGATTTGGTAGCAAACGGTGATCGTACAATTTGGACACATCAGTCATACCAAAAATGATTAAATTCAGGTAGAACATTGTGATGACAGAGATCCTACAGAGGAGGAAGAGGACCTATAAATACTGTTTTAATTTAAAAGCGTGTATGTTAGCTACTCTCCCCATGAATACTGAATGTTTTATGTCTGCAGTTTTAATACCATAAGGGCCCTAATATACAACAATCCATGACTCCTGGCTCCTTCTCTGCTCTCTTGCTTTTTCTGCTCCTGTAGATTCTCTCCTCCTTCCCTGTGGATCCGTTTCTGAGGCTCATGTCAACTTTGGTCTCTAAGTGAGGAACCGACCAGAGAAAATAAACTGCCTTTGATTGACTACTTTACAGTAGATAATTATTACCTATTTAGGTATTAAACAAGATTAGTTTATTGATAGTTTATCAGATTTTCTGTGAACGTCCGGCAGAATTCTGTCAGTCCTTTTAGCTATGGGAGCGAGCATCAGTGCAATAAATAACGTGCAATCACTATGTCATACCGTGTGCAATAACTATATACATATATATATATATATATATATATATATATATATATATATATATATAAAAAAATCAATAAAGTCTATCTTATCTTAGCATGTGCTATTTTCTTGATCAGTTTATCACGCTGTTTAATGCCTTAAAGTGGGGCCGAGTTGTGTAATTCAACTGGAAAATGATCTACACTTATTACTGCTTTTAGAAATGAATAAACCTATGAAAATTCAATCTCAATATAAAAAAAAAAAAAAAAAACTTAAAAAACTATGGTTAAAATATGTGGTAAATATTTGTTCTTTCAAAGCCAAAACAAATCATATCTTTTTATACAAGAGTGCCAGTGTCTGCATCTCTGCTTCTTTCTCTCTAAACACCTTGAAGCTGTCCTGCTAATCTGACCCAGAGCCTAAATAGAGACTGCCTGGTGTACCTCTCGGCTGATATCCAGGTCATAGTCCAGGGATTCCAAGTCCTCCTCTTGTACACGCCTGGCTGTGACCGTCAACCATTCATCCGACTGCCTCCTTCCACTCTCTTTGACTCGATTCAGTCCTTCGTCGCTCTGACCTTCTGCTCTGGGTCGTTCCTCCTGCCAGTCAAACACCTGGAGATACGAATGAGTCACAGTTACACAACCAGGAGGTGAAAAACGCTGGGAAAATATGTTTGCCTACACTATTATAAATTTAGAGGAAAAAGAAGAACAACAAAAAAAAACACATAACTTAGGAAACATAAATTGACTTAATTCTGGGCGGTTTAAGCAGCTTGGATCAGTTTAATAGATTAAATAAGGACATTTAAAGAAAACAACTGAGACAATATATTGGTTAAGAATTTTTTTAGCATCCCTGTTTGAAGTTTTATAGAAAAAGCAGCCTTTTTGTTAAATTATTCAAATCAATCCGATATTTTCATTTGTTTGCAGAAGGTAGCTGCTGTTAACTAGTTTTTAGAAATCAAATTACTGAGAAAATGCTGACAGTGCAATAGTAATAAAATGTTCAAAGGTTTCCCCAATCCAAAGCTTTTCTGTGATCCTGTGACAGGTTGCTATGTGGAGTCTAAATAACCAGGGAGGGCTCTTGGCATTTCAAATGTAAGGGATCAGGAAATGCTTCAAACAGGTCTAAGGACGTGGTATATAATGAAAGAAGTCAAAGCACTGATCCCCAGGCTGAGAGAGACAACTATTGTATGACTTTAGCCTTTTAGTGCACCCTTCTCTACGATGCAAACTAAGACATCTACTAAGAAGCACAATATGTGTGTGTGTGTGTGTGTTGCTGAGTGGTACTTGTGAGGAATCATCCAAGGAGCATCAAAGCCATGCATGCATCCTTTCCTCTCCAGCAGCCTGCAGAGTCTGATCTGTCTGTCGAAGTGCTCGCATGCTCAGAGAAACGCTGCGTCTCATGCCTCGGTGTGCTCAGGAAGACCAGTCTCTCTCTCACACACACAAACACACGCAGAGAGAGACAGAGAAAACCATGCACACGTTCCCTCACAACCCCCCACCGGATTAAGAAGAAAACAGCCAGGAGGAGCTTCAGAAGCAAGAAACTCTTTATTGAAGTGCAAATCTCTACATGATAGAAAAGAAAGCGGAGAAAAAAAGTTGTGCATTGCTTCTTTAATTACACAGAATTAGGCGGCGACCAGCATTTCGCCCGTTTCATCTCCCTAATGAATTAAACCGTTGCTCTGTTCGATCTGACACACTGTGCTGGGGGGGGTAGAAAGCCTCATGGAGGGGAGACTTTAGGCAAACAAGGAGTGGACATCAGTGGCACAGAGTGGAGATCTAATATCTTCTTTTTTAAAATAAATCCTGTAAATGTAAACAGACTGGGCCCCAACTAGAGAAAGACAAACCTTTTGCTACATGTGTGAATAATTGATCCTCCATGACAGATCTGTCCACTCCTTGCTCAACACTTTCAGTGGTGTCCAGATTGATTGGCACCCCTGGTAACGACGTGTCGAAAGAAACTCCCCAACACTGTTATTGCAGTAGCATTATTTCAAAGTGAAGAAATGCTGAGGAAGCTTTGATCAGAGCTTTCTTACAGCCTCTGGCCACCAGCCTGGATGAGAAGCCATATTTATGTCGCTATTTTCTGGTCCCAGAGTCTCCATGTTTACCTTTAGATGGAATCAATAGGGAGAGATTTCTTTTCTTAAACTGTTGAGTGACCTTAACATGCTTTGGTTGGATCAATAAAAACACAGTGGATCAGAAAAAAAAGGAACAATTCAGGTCTTATGATGATCAGACAGGAAGCAGTGAAGTAAAGGGTGTCCGATTTGGAAAATCAAAAACTAAATTCTGTTTAAGAATTTGTATAAGAGCGTGTGGAGTCGGTCGCAAGGTGTTTTATTTGAAGGTAAATCATTGCTCATCAGCAGCAACTCCAGATGTTTTAGGTGTGAAACTAAGCATAACGGTGATGTAGTCCTGTGCTGCTAGGCTCATAGGAATCTGGTTGGAATAGATCAGTTCCTGATTTTAAAAGGAAAACTGGTGGACTCTGTCAGCAAACTGGACATCTATGGGATAAATATCCAACATCTGTTTAAGAAAACAAAGAAATGATTCAACAGATCAAAAGTCAGTCCTGTTACTCTCGGTCATTGGTACCAGAAGGGCACCAATGATTCTGTAAAAGCTGATTCTCTTTAAAACATTTATTTTCCCCCTCGCGCTTAGAGCTTAAATTATAGCAATTAAACATATTAGCATAGTTTACCAGGGGTTTCAATCAATGTGGACGGCACTTTATTTCTTTATTGCAATGCAGCCCAGCTCCTCCATCCTGCCCTATTTACTCATGATGCATAAAACAACACAGCATAGGCCACTTAAAAGTTCTCCAATCTGAGCTTTTCACATCTAAAGTCTCTGTTATTGTTATGTAGTCAGACAACAAATAAAAGAACCTCAGAGATCAAACAAAACAAGGCTGTTTGAATGAGAGCGTTAGTTCAAAGGAAGTAAAAACCAGTTAATGCTGGTGGAGAACAGAGCGAAATAAAAAATACTCTGCTGACATCAGAGGTGAAAAAGTAAAACCATAACTTATATATATATAGATATAAAAATATGTATTGCTTATTATGACAGTAACAAACACAATGGTGCCTTAGAAAAGTTTTCACACGCCACGGATTTAAAAGTAACAAAGTGTGTTTTGATGGGACTTTATCTGATAGGCCAACACAGAGTAAAGTTTGACATTAAAGCAGACAGGAATGAAATATGTTTTTATTTTATATTAAAAAAATCTGAAAAATATTTTGTTTTTTTACTACAAAACTACTTTAAATTTTAACATTCATATCAAAACAGGAGGATAAAATTTGAAATCAAACAACTTTTTCTTACTGTTAATAATAATAATAATCTCAAAGTATTTCAATACTTTCAATTTATTCTGGGGCCTTTTTTCCATTTACTGTTTTTGATCTGGACTGGAACTGAAATGATTAAAACAAGGTCTTTTTGTTTTTGGATTAAGATAAAATAAAAATAAATATCAGTAAGGTTGGTTCCTTTTACATTTTTGATTAATTGCATTTAGATTCCCAAAGCATCTGCTGTTCACAGACTGTTTTTATCTGCTCTGACTGAACCTAAGCCATTTAGCACAAAAAGTCAAACTTTTTATTTAGAGGCTTGATCTTATTAAGACAAACAAAACACTCGCAGCTCTATTGACTCTATTAAATACTTGTCTGCCACACTTTTCAGACTTTAGGTTGTTCTAAATCAATTAAGAGGTTTTTTGTGTTGATCTGTCACATGAAATCCCTATTATTATTTAGCTAATTTTGTTCCATTATTGTTGCCATCAATAAAAAAATACTTTTTAAAAATTGAAATAAAAAAAAAGCTATATAAAAAATTAAACTTTGAAAAATATCTTAATCTTAAAGAATAAAATGTTTTTGGAGTACCTGCACAGTATTCTGTTTTTACTTTATTTCCTCAATTTCTTTTATTTATTTATTTATTCTTATAAAATTTTAGATTTTCAAATTGATTAAACATTTGTTTTCCAGTTTGAGTTTAACACAGAAGAGAGATATTTGAAGAAAAAAAAGAAGATATTCCAAAAAAATCTATTTTGAAACGTGAAAATAGAAAATTACGTTTAAAAAATAACATTTGAAGGAAAAAAGAATACATAAGTAAACAGCAAAGTTTCTTTTTTCCTTTTTTTTGGATAAGGACTTTATCAAAGTTTAATTTTTGAATTATATTTTTCTTTTTTTTAATTTCCAAATAATTTGCTTGCAACAATAATGGGACATGTACACGCCGTAAGGTAACATGTTAAAGTCTGTGCTTGTAACCTGGCTGAATGAGTTCATTTTTAAAGGGTGTGAATACTTTTGCAAAGCACCTCAAATCCCTACTAAGCTCACAGCTGGCTGGTCTGGAGCCACTTTACCAACCTGGCAGTTTTAGATGCTCATCCTAAGTCTATGAGAGGAGTAGTTTATTTATTTGATGAAAGCATGTTAGCATTGCTAGCATACCACATTGAAACCGAAGGGCAGTGTTAGCCATAAGCTAGGTTCATTTCAGCTTCTTGATTAATAGCAGCAGCGTCCCTTCGTCTCCTTGACAGGTCCTACAGGTGGCTCTAACTTCATTCCTATGCGAGGCTGAAAATTGTTAAATCAGTCTTTCTTGATTCCACCTTAAATTATGGTAACAGACATAAATTCAGGACAAAAGGCAAAATGATCGTCAATAAACCAAGGCACTTAGATTTGATTTGAGGAAAGGAAAGCAGGGAGGTGCGGTCATGATTTGTGCCACTAGTGTTGCACCTGATGATTTGGGTTTTCACTCTTTTTCACTCTATATATAAGCTCTATATACCAAATCTATATAAAATAGAACTGTACAACTGTATACTGAAAATATCCCTCAGGTAATAAATAAAAGTACACGCACAGAGCATGTAGATGTACAGATAAATGGGCTCTTCTCTCTACTTTTCTGTGATTAAATGGAGAAAAGAAGTGAAAGCAACACTTAACGCTTCTTTCTCTTCTATATGTGTTTACATTCAGAGTTGTGTCAGTGAGGTCCCACAGAGGGAGGGGGGGTTAGTGGTAATTAAACTATCCTAAACCCCTGAAACGTTAAAAAAAGGAATAAATAAGGAGCCAGTCTGTCCGTCTCCAATCCTAACGCCCCTCGTTGGCCTCGGATGCTTTTGTCTCCCGACATTTCTAGAGCAGTAACCAAGCTAGCCTGCCGGCTCAAGTCAGTGACGCTTCTCAGCTTGTTAGTGTGAGACCAAAAACAATCACTGGTGAAACAAGCAGGAGAGCTAGGAAGTTAGCAGTTCTTCTAGGTTATTATGTGGCTGGAGGCTGGAGAGTAGCATAGCAGTACTGAGGGTGAGGCTGGTGCTCCCTGTGTCTGCTGCCGCGCTGCAGGGAGGGGTAACGTACGGAGGGGGGAGGATCGGAGGGGCTGGAGGAGGGCAGCCTGGAGGAGGACGACGAGCGCTGCGATGAGGAGGAGCGGTCGCCGTGGCTGAGGTTCCTCTTGCGCTCCCGGACCAGCGCCCTCTGGTGGCGCTTCATGCGCTCCAGCTGCTCCTCGGCGGTCATCCGGCCTCGGGGCTGGCTGCCAGGGAGCTGGCCGCCCTCCGTAGGCGACGACAGACGCTCAAAAGCACTCTTGGGCCTGTCCTGAGGTGACAGAGGGGAGACACAACACAACAGGGAAGGGGGGGTAAATATTCCTAAAAATGTTCTACTTTAAAGCTTTGTCACAGTTGACTGTGTTTTTATATTGGAAAATTTATCAACTTAAAACTACCAAACTTTAAAATCAGTAAAGCTTGGTTTATGCTTGACACGTCTTCAGGGTCCGCGTGGCCATATGATGTCATTCTGGGCTTCCACGCCCGTCTGCATAGTTACAAATTACAAACGAGGGTTCACAAATGTAAACATTTAAAGACATCGTCAGTATGAAGCTACCATCCATGATGATGCTGGTACACTGCTAACCAGATGGTGGCAGCAATGCACCCTATAGATGTTTGCCAACTGCCATTAAAGGAGAAGACAAGGAAGATAACAAAAACAAAAGTAGTAAATTTGTGATTAGTACTTTTATTTTTGCAAAGTTGTACCTCATTTCCTGCCAGTGGGTTTCGACATGATTTACTGTGTGTTCGGTTATTCTCATGGGACGACAAACTGATCCTGTTAAACAGGCCTTACTCTGAAGACTTAACTTTGTATTATAGTAAAATGTTTTGATTAAAAAAAAACTAAATAAACTGACCTTTGGTGCAGAGCTTCCAGGAGCTCTCCTCAGGGTGACGTAGGACGAGATGGAGTCAGACTGCTCCATCCGGGATGTGTTTCCTGTCAAACGTTGTTGATAACGACAGAACAGCCACCAATAGTTTTAGTGCACAAAGAGTAAAAACACAGTATATAGATATATAATAAAAGATCTGATCACAACCCAAGCCATTTATATTCCATTAACTCTGACAGTTTGTCATGTTACTGGCATAAACATGACTATCATTCATATTATTGGACACTTCAGCTTGAAATTGTGCATATCTGTAAAAGAAGGAAAAATAACGTGTTTTATTTTTTTTTCTAAACAAAATCCAAAGTACTGTAGGTATTTATATTCATCCCGGTTGATTAACCCTGTGTCACACTTAATTACCAGTGGGAGACTAAAGAATGGTGATGTTTTTATCCCAGCAGCAGGAAAACAAAGCAAACCACTAAAACGGACCTTGATGCAAACAACCTTTATCTGTGGAAGGTTAAAGCTGATAGAGACATAATATCCATGCTACACCCATCTTTCCTTTCCCACGGCATGATGCCACCACCACCATGGGTCAGAAAAAGAGGGGCTGCACAGGGTGATGTGCAGATTTTATTTTGCATCAAAATCTTAATTAAAAAAGCAAAAAGGAAAGAAAAGACATCTTTATCGAATGCCCTTCCATCTCCCAACTAAATGATAATTTTTGATTTGCCAAGAGGAAATAAATGCCTTTAAATCAGATGTTTGTGTTCGTCTGTGAAGCCATTAAACCCCTCATATACCTTTACATGGGTAATACTGGTAGTCGGCATCGGACCCTGTGATCTGGAGGCTGCTTCCTGGCAGTTCTGGTTCACTCAGGTAAGATCTCAAATCCGTCTAAAAAGAGATTAAAAAGGGTCTGAGAAGGTAACTCAACATACTAAATCCCTAAATCACAAGATTTTTATCTCTACATTAAGGAAATGTATCATTTCTATAAAAGTAAACTACTCGTTTCCACTTCAGAGAACCCGACATAATAAAATGAATGATGGCGTACCTTAGTATCTCCGTTGACAAGGTACTGGCCGTACTCCCTGTCCCGCTTCCTCTCGTCAGACTGCCGTTTCAGCCCTCGCACCGATGTGTGGCGGATGACTGACGCCTCTTTGGGGAGGGGGGGCACCACAGGGGGCGTTTCCTCGTAGTCATAGAGACGAGGGAGTGGTGGCCTGGGCGGGGCATCGTCCTCGGCCTGTAGGGAAATCAGTGATGTAGACAACTTACTAGAAATCAACTGATACATATATAATTTTCTTTTAAAAAGGCCAGTGTCAATGATTCTGACATCAATTTAACTGAGGGTGATTCTTGGAGTCGATTTTTTTTCTTCCTCCTTTTACATGATACGTATAACACATGATAACAAATGTCAAGTATTAATTTAAACAAATCAAGAAATGTCTATTAAATCAAACAAAACATTAACAACTGACAGTAAATTATGGAGCTAAATTGAGGCCACAAATGTGTTCAAATAACAGAGGAAATGTTTTGAACTCATTTTAAGTTCAAGGCTGTTTTTTTTTTTTTTCCAAAGTACTGGCCCCTGGGTTTGGGGGGCGAGGCTTAAACTGACAACAGACAGCTTAGGAGCCTGATAAAATATTTCTAGCCATTTATGACTGAGGGAACTAAATATGTATTTAAATCATAATCAATAATTTTTCTTTATGTGATTCGTTTATAAAAAAATTAATTCTTCAGTTCAAGTTATTTTTTTCCACTTTTCAATTTTTCTTTTCTTGGTTTGATTATATATTGCTTAGATTTAAATCCTTCCTTTCCAGTTTAAAAAATACTACTTGTTTTAAATCTTTTTGTTTGTTTGTTTAGAAAATAAATTATTTCAAATTATTTATTTTCAATTTTAACGAAATATGTTCAAATTATTTATTTTCAATTTTAACAAAAAATGTTTCAGAATAAACTTTATGTCCCAAATGTAGCTCCATAGGGATGCAGGGAAGCAATGATGCATGCACAGATTGGCTGATACCGATATATTGGCCAAAAACATCCGCCAGCAGATCTATTGGTGTATCTCTGGATTTTACTGCGGATGAAGGTTTGTGGTGTAGATCTTCCTTAATTATTAAGACGGAGATAAATCGGAGCAGCAAAGGGACACTCACCCAGTTTGGCACGGTGCTGTCAGGCAAAGTGTGAGACAGCGTGTTGGAGATGGAGCTGCGAGGAGGAGGATGGACCTCTGCACTGAGTGAAGGCACTGCCTGGTCAGACACTGAAGGCACTAATCTCCTGTCTGCAGAGACAAATCAACACAGAAAAAACAAATTGTGTCACACCTCAACTTTTGCACCAGCATCTCAGCTTCTGCACAACGATATGAGAGGAGAGCTGGGAAAGGGACCCACTGGTCAAATGAGACCAAGGTCTAAAAGGTTCCCTGACGTCACTATATGACATACTGAAGTCTCTGCAACCATGAAACAGCTTTAATTCATGTGTATAAAAATATTGAACCTCAAACATCTCTTTTCTTTTTTGCATTTGCTCTCCATCACAAAGGCTGTGTAATTTCTACTAAAGATAAACTGATTTATCTTTAGTAGGCCGATAATAATTATTGACATCAATCAAACTGCCACCGATTTTTGGGGGTTAATTCTTAAAGCGGATATTTATTTATTTATATGAAAAAACTTGACACAATAATTAAAAATTAAATGGCTTTATTTTTAAACAAAAAACAAACATTTATTAACAAATCAAACAAAACATTAACAATGGAGGAAGTGGGTTTCAAGTGATTTCAAGGCATGGCTGCTGAGTTACTTATAAATCAGCGAGCAAAACCAGAAACTCTAATATGGGCCATCAGAAGCCAGTCAAGTAGCTCTAATTCTTACACAACAAAGTTCACACGGAGACTAAACTTAACATTTGCGTAGGAAAAGTAGTATAAATATTACACATTTTTATTTCTTTTTTCTATAAATATGTTAGCCTTTAAAAGATATTTTATCCTAGATTTTTATGATTATATATTAAACATACGGTATATTTAAGTGATTATTTTTGAATATCTCTGTTTCTATGAGTCTGCTGTTTTTAGTTTGTTTTGTCCTTAAATAACTTCCAATAAACACAGACACAGCCAACTGTTTTATGCTGTCACCAGTTAAAACATCCTTTCAAGAATAGCATAAAATAGCGTAAAAAGAACTCAATTATACTGGATGTTTTGAAACAACCTAAAAACCTGAAATTGGTAGCTAGTATTCCAAAACGCAATATTCATATAAAGAAAATATGAATTTATACTAAATAAAAAGCATTTCAGTGTTTTTCACACAGATTTCTCTTGTCTTTATAAACCAGTTAATGTTTGTTAGACTAACTGAAGGAACAGAAATGACAATTCAGGAATGAATGATATATGAAAAGTTTGATTTGAGATATCTTTTTTAAAGCAAAACAGCATTAAAATGATAAAACAAATGGCAAAAAAATGTGAATATCCTCAGCTGTTTTTGTCTCTTGCAAACTGAAGCTTTTCCTCTGCTATTAATCACGCCTGACACCCGTCTCCATCCGCAACCACCCACCCCCCGCTGTTTTTTTAATTTTATTTTTTATGTGTTTTGACTGGGTCTCTGAAAACAGACCCATTATGAAGACAGACTCCCCCAATACTGAGCTGTCACAAGGCTAGCAGGAATTTGAAGTTTGGAGGCACAGATCACAGCACCAGTAAACATTGCAAATAAAACTATGAGAAAGATAATCCGTTTTTTTTTTCTTTTGCAAAACTTTGAAACTTTATGAAATTTCTTTGAAAACCTATTGCTTTAGAAGTGTGAACAGTATATATACATTCCTTATAGCATAATTCCTTCCACTGAATTGGGTAAAATAATATATAGTAACTAGGCATTGAATACTATTTAAGAGTTTAACATTTGGTGTAAATAGAAGTTAAAACTTTATTTCTTATTTTTTATTCGAATTATCACGGCACTAGTAGTTCATTTTTATGAACAGTAGGCCGACAGGAAAGTTTGTGATGCTGATTTTATTTCAGATTTAGTGTTAATATCTTTCTGATTAATTTATTCATTGTATTTAAGTGCCCTTCCTATTAAAAAATATGAACTCTTATGGATCAATTGAAAGGTAACAAAAGCTGCGTGGAGATGACTAATAAGAAAGAGTCATTTTTACAAAGCTCCACCTTTAGCTGGGGCTCAGTTTTAAAAAGTAACAACCATAGCAGAACCTTTTTTTTTTTGCCTTTGTCTAACTTTTGTCTTGGCTTTTGCATGGGAAATGAACCATTTTAGTTCTGTAGGTTACTTTTGAGGGTTAAATTACGGAACTTGCACTCCTGAGTGCAAGATCTCTACCTTCATTAGAAGTTACAATGTCGTCTGCAAACAGATGCATCTCACCTGGATTCTGAATAGAGTCGACTGTTATCTTGTAGTTGGCTTTGCTGGCACTAAGCCCGCCCATGACGTCCTCGATCCTCCACAGCTCACGCTTTAGCTCAGCCTTTTCCTGCTGTGTTATAACACATACATGGAATCATTTTACTTACTTGACATTTTTCCAGTTTTTCTAGATGTAGTCTTGATTTTTAAATAATGGACATGCATCAATAATCAAAAATAATATTTTGACTTCTTTGCACAATATAATGTGAGGCTTTGATTGAGAATGATAAAGTCTCACCTGAGACGTGTCACTATGGGTCATGTGTGTCTGCAGTGCCACCCTTAGCTGCTCCACTGATTGCTCCAGCTTGTTGTACTCTTCCCAAGCATGTGCCATTTCCTGCATAACCCAAACAAATATACAGGCATGATTAATGAATTTTCTCATTTCTCTTTTATACCAAACAAAGCTAAATGTATGACATAAAAAAAAGACATTAGTTTATTTATTTATCTACATTTTATAAATCTGGCAGAAGGAGCTATATCAGCCAGGTCTACTGTTATCGTTCAAGCACTGTCCATGTGTACCGTAGAAACGCGCGATATTTGAGCCCTGATGGTCACCAGGTCTTCCTGCAGCAGCCTCTGTTGGTAGGCGATCTTGTGGGCGTGGGCTGGCTGCTCCTGGTACTGCTCCATCTGTTGGTGGGACATGTCAAGTACTCTCTCCAGCTTGTCCTGGAACAGGGGGAAGGTTGAGCGGCATTAAGAATAATGAATGAATGAATGAATGAATGAATGAATGAATGAATGAATGAATGAATGAATTAATGAATGAACCAGTTAGCAGTTTAGTGCTAGTAGGTTCCTAATGGGAAATTACATTGGGACCAAGTAGCACTAAACTGTCAAGGAACGCTATGGACGGCGGAAACATGCAACAGGAGGAGAATTTTGTGTCGGAGGTCGTGGATGAGTCTCCTCCGTCATACATTTTGCTAGGGCAGCAGAAGCTTGGTTTAGTGTAGAAGGCTTACAGCCGTACATGTTTGAGCCCTTGCCTCACAACGCTGCCAGTTCTGTTAGCTCTACGCCTGCTGAAGACACAGACGTCCATCCCCGTGAACACTGGGACGGAACTCAATGGGAAAGGAAATGGTTTTCATTTCAACCATTGCATATATTAGCTGCGACATATGAATCAAGATGCTATGACCGAAAAAATTTGATTGTCAGATGATCGTTGATATATGATTGGCTGAATTTAGGTGTTCAAGCTGACGTATAACTAACTGGCCTTCATAAGATAACGGAAAAAACACAGATTTTAAGACAGGATTTTTTTTTAAATAGAAACTTTCCAACTTTTGGGATAATATGGTCTGATTAAGAGTACATTTACCTACATGTTTAAGCCAGAATGAAAGTTTGATATGACTTCCCTATGACTTTAAAGTTGAGTAACCTTCCTGTTAAACTTGTTTTTTGTTTAATATTACACACGCACACACACAAAAATATATGTTTATATATATATATATATATATATATATATATATATTAGGGGTGGAACGGTTCACCATAGCCACGGTTCGGTTCACGGTTTCGTGGTCACGGTTTTTGGTTCAGTTCGGTATATGTTGATTGTTACCCCGAAATCCCATAAAAATTAATGAAATTAATGAAAAAAATCCAAAAAAATCTATGAATTGCAATTATATTTGATGATCCGCGGAAACCCTGGATAATTTCCGCATGTTTTGCTGCTTTGTATTTAATCATCTCGCGCATGCCCTCTACGATCTCCAAGGAACTCAGAGCGTGGTGGATGGGAGCCACAGCTGAGGCTGTAGGCTTTGCTTTGTGCAGGCGGTATGGAGCGCAGCGGAGCGCTGACGGAGTATGAGGGATTTCGGGGTTAGCATGACATGTTGCACAATGCTTGCACACTGTTGCACTTTTATCCACGACTTTCCTTCCGCCGTCATCGTAGGTCACTCTAAATGCAAAGTGGTCCCATACAGCAGACCTATAAAGTGCTGCTGGCGCGTCTTCCAACTCCTGTTCTTTCCCACTCGCCATACCCACACAATTCTCCACAACAACTGATTTTTTTCTGCTACACCCGGCTAAGCTGCTTCGCTTCTTCTTCTTCTTGTTTACTACTGGTGGTGGGCTTTGGTCGCAGTACCGCCACCTTCTGCTCTGGAGTGTAAACGCTTCGCCTATGAGAAAAAGGAGCAGCGCGTGAACCGAACGCAACACACGCGAACTGACGGTTCGTCATAAACCGTTCCATCCCTTATATATATATATATACACACACACACAAACACACACACAATTATATATCATCATACATACATACATGTAAACGAACATATACATATCTACACAAACACATCAGGCCGAAATCCACATTATAGCTTTGCACATCGGCACTCAAGAGTACTGCGACCCCCCAAAACCCCCAATCATCAGTGCCACATTCCAACACCACAGTCTCTCCACCCGTCTCTCCCCCCACCGGTCCCAACTGCACCCCACAGCGACATTCACCTCCCCTCCTCATCACAGTACATGTTGAAAAACATCAGTTTGAGCCTTTTTTTAAACAGACTCGTGCTTGGACATGAAATGCACATACTCTTCATGGTGGTTCCAACCCTCAAGGTTCTGAAGTTAAGGTTTTCCCTGTAGTCATAGCCCCCCCACTCTATCAGAAAACAGCTTTTGAATTTCCCTGGTAGTTGTTTATTTATAGCTTTATACATAAACTGAGGTGTTTGAAATTCTACCAGATCTGGGAGTTAGAAGAGGCAGGACTCTATAAATAGTATGTTAGTATGATCGTGGAATAATGTCTTAGGAACCCTTCTGATGGCCTTTTTTTGTAATGTGCATAACGGTCGCAGAGAGTTTTTATAGGTGTTGCTTCATATTTCTACACATTAACTACATATAAGTAATATAAGTGCGCAAATACAGAATATGAAGTGCAGCATAATTTAGGAAATGTTTAGCTTTGCTGAGAATAGCAATACTTCTGGAAATTGTAGTTTGAAATCATTTTATGTGAGGTCTCCAGCAAATCTTATTGTCAATCATCACTCCCAAGAGCTTAATTTCCTTAACTCTACGGGAAAGACTGAATTCTTGTCAGTGGCACATGATCCCCCATGACAATTATTAATTTGTGCATGTAGTAATATTATTTTATATTCTTTAAATGTTGATCTTTTTAATTGGTATACGCTAAAAAATAAAATAAAAACAGCACTTTCATGGTGATATAGACAAGCAGTACAAGAATAGTTTTTTTCCTTAATAGAAAAGTATTTCCTGACATGGGAAGGTTTTGCCTTCTGTCTGGGTAGAAATAATGTATTCACCACCAGTGCTCAGTGTGTCATTAAAACACTCTGACTCAGGAGGATGGGCCTGAACACATGCTGATAATGGACTCCTAATACTATTCTATTTAATAAGACTGATATGATCTTTAATACATACTGATGCATTCTAGGCATTGCATGCAAACTTGGATAGTGAGATATTTAGCCACTACAGTCACTTCATTGCACTTTGAATATATTGCATTTACAGTTCTAATAAGAAAATAGGTTTTATTCTGTTTCTGAATAATTGATGGAGCGGATGGAGCAGTAGCCTTTATCTGTCGTTACAGTCCAGCAATTTTCCCTGCTTGTTTCTTTATTTGAAAAAGAAGATAGAAATATTCAGTAGACAATATGTTTCACGCTGTTTGACTCAGCAAGAAATAGAGACGTAGCAAGAAGTATAATAGTAATATGCCTCAATAAAGAACGAATCCTCAAGGCACTGCCTGCTTAATCCTGCTGGATGAGAACCGGCATTGCACACTCCAGGATGAACCCACAGGACTCACTGCACCCGAGAAAGATCTATATCTGTTTTTAAGGGCTTTCTCAGAGACATTTAAACAATTGAGCTGCTGGAGGTATCTTTGTAAGGCCCTGGAAGTACCCATCCTGTTCCTCCTTGCACAAATGAGCAGATATCAGTCCGCCTGATGGGTGAAAGGCATGTGATAGCCATGTCCGGCTCTCCTAGACTAACTTCTTCCAGGAATTTCCTTCTCAAGTCTATGCTAGGGACACACTAAATGTTTTCTTAGTGGTTTGTAAAGTTCAGCTTGTTCCATCCTTGTAGTGTCCAGATATCAGCTCATGGTACCAGAAGTGACACCGACCGCAATTTTCATGCAAAACACCAAAATAGATCAAACGCATAAAGAACACTGTCTACTAAACTGACCACGTGTTTAATTGACTATTATATTCTGATTCATTTTTAATAATTGTACACAAAAAACTGTTGTTGTTTTTTTATGAATTAACTTATTTCCAGTCTTCCAGAGTTGAAGAGGACTGGGAAAGAAATCATCCTCTAAAGAAGGAGCTGGAAAGGTTTGAGAACCAGCAGTCCATGGCTTATTTAACGGCCTCTAGAGGGCAGCACTTCACTATAAAACCATGCAGAGTCACTTCAACATCTCATCAGGACTACACCTGTGAAGTGGCTAGGACTAACTTGGGGCATTAAATAATGAACGATGTTTGACAAGGGAATAAATGTTCATTCCTCTATTTTCATATAAAAAAATCTTATTTAGTGGGAAAATATTCAGCCAATAGAAGCCAAACCACTCTGAGGTAGAAGCATGTACCTCTAGGTAACTGTGGCTCCATCTTGTCAGATTTAGATGATGCTTTAGCTTTTACTGCATCATTCATCAGCGCTGTGCTTGGTTACCTTGTCGTTCTTTAGGGTGCTGATCCTCATCTCCAGATCCTTCAGGATTTTATCCTGTTCACATAATCGACTCAACTTCACCTGTAGGGAGAGACACAGAGCTGAATAAGCAAGGGCAAACAACAATGATCAATGAAAAAGAAAAGGCTATGCTCACCCAGATGAAACACCTCTTAAGAGCTAATCAGAGTGACTGTGCTCTGACCTCTATTAATTAAGTGGGCCTTTTACTTAATTGAAACCTGATGTCAGCAGCTGCAGGGACTTCATACAGAGCAGAGGGCGAGGACATGAACAGAGAGCCCCTTTTAATGCAATATGTGAGTTATTGAACTTTTTCTGTTGTCTGCAGTTACAAACTGTATGTTAGCTGGGTGGAGGGAGCCAAAATCCTTTTATTAGAATCATTAAAGATCCTCAGTAGCTGGTCTAAAACTGGTCTTCAATTAAAAAGCCACAAAGCTAAGTTCAGTCCCAAGAATGAAAACAGAACAGCTTGATCTGAGTTCACTTCTTGATCTAATACATGATTTATCCCATATTGTTGTGATGCTGTCTTGGATCTGATTTTGTAATCGATTCCTTTCACAAAAATATTCAGAACCGGTTGAGACTCTGACAAAAGCTGTGGGGAATCATGTGGCTCATCCAAGTCAACAGAAGCTCAAGATCAAACCCTGGATGCCATGTTGTTACGTTTAAAGCTTATTAAAACAATTCTGCTACACTGTCCCTGACAACTTTTATTAACTATTATCACTTTAAATTTATTAAATCAAGGCTGTCAAAGATGAAAACAATAATTGTTGTTTAATATATAGCATATCTTTCATTGGTTAATACAAAGATGTTTGTATTGGTCATACTACAACCACAAACTTTTATGTATTTTATTCTGATTTCATGTCATTAGATAGAGGCATTGGCTAAATAAAAATAAATGGGAATAAAGTGAGAGTATTAGAGCAGAGTGGTCTTTGTTAATGAATTGGGAAAATCAAAAGCAATTTGAGACATTAGTAAATAAAGTGCACTAAAAATAATTAATCATCATTATCAGCTTTTAATAATTATCATTATTATCTCAGGTAAGAACTCTCCATTTCCCCCGCTCTCACCCAGTAGTTTACTTATTCTAGAGGGGCAGAACTGAGCCTCTTTGCACGCCCCCACCATTAGTCAATCTCTGTAGATAACTCGCAACATCGACAACCAATTGCACGTGAATTTTTTTTTTTTTTTGTGCAAATGCAATTGAACCTGCCTTATTTGAATTGTTTAAATGATCAGATCCAAAGATCATGAGGCTTATTTTCTTCCCATTGACCCAAGACATGAGGGTAGCATGGCTTGTTTTACATAACTGATCATTTTATGGTTATTTTTTTATGCATTTCTCCTATTTTTTGTTTAATTTTTTGTTTTTTGTTTTTTTTGGGGGGGTAATCACACGCAGAAAGCTGTAGTGCCATTTATTTTTGGTTTAAACTGAGTTATTTTGAACTTTCAATCCCCTGTGTTTATGGGCAGCAGAGGATGATGGTCAGGTTGCTGTGTTTACTGTACTTTATACAAATGGAAGATAAACCCAAACATAATTTCAAGCTACAGTCGGGATTAGGTGCATCGATAAAAACAGTTAAACAATCTCTTTTGCTCCTGTTTTTTTCCCCCTCTAACTGGACATCAGAAGACATTTTTATTTAAAGCTTTATTTGGCCAACAGGCAAAATAATCATCTTTATCAAATAGTTACCTTTCAATGTCAGTCCAGACGTATTCCTTGGTCCAATACTTAAAATCCACTTTTTCAGTTTTAACCACAAAGTTATTAGTTCACTTCTTCTATTTATATTTTAAGGTTTAAAAGTTAAGCAGGAATTTATTGCATAGATATCAATCAATGTTGGGATTTAGGGAAAGAAGGACCAACAGGACAGGAAATAAAGTTTAGAGCTTCAAGTATTTCCCTTTTAGACACACACTTATGATTGCATGAATTGTTAAACATATCAGACAGTCCATATAATGTTGGTTAAGATGTTTGATAAATTGACAGCCTGTCTAAAGTAGCCTTTGGTTTTAATTCCAGCTAAAAGGGTTACCATATATAGGTCTGACACTTACATCCACATCGCTTTCTGCAACCTTGACAGGTTTCCCCGCCTCCTTCAGTGTCTGACTTCCAGCTACCTGGAAATTTCAACATAAAACAGTTTCAGATGTTAGATGTTTGCTGAAACGACGAGTCTGTCTCCTCGGTACATTAGCGCTGAAACAAAGGTAGCACAGAACACAGAGAGCACCTGTAAACTATTACAAGCCAGGGGGCAGACTATCATAGACATTCACTGGGCCCTGTGAACATGACAACATGGGTGACTTCTAGCACATAAAACCAGCTATTGCCATTGACAACACAGTGGCTATGAAGACTTTGAAGCTCTGCACAAAATCGCTGACCTATAAACCCTCTAAACCTTCTGAGTGCAGTTGTCCATTTAAACACAGAGGAGGACTCAGTCTTTCTGTGGCTTATTTTAAAGGGATGGCTGAACTTCTGAAGTGAGGCTCTGTTGAATGTTTTTGAGCAGTTCATGGTAACAGAACTCCCTCCTGCTGCCATAAGATAAGGTATATTCCCACCAAACACGAATGCAGCGACCGGACCGAATATAGAATATCTAAAAAGGTTTTGCTTAATCAATCAATGCTGTAATCGAGAATCGAATTTGAACTATTTGGTAAATCTAGATGAAGATAGCATGCAGAATTAATGCCAGTAGATGTTTTGGATGCATGGTGAATTTTCACTTGAACAATCTAGAGTTCTTTGTCAGTTCTTCGTCAATTTGTCGTTAACCAATCAAGGACTGGATGTGGTTGTGAAGTGGGATTGTTCGGCTTTCCATTAAACACCCAGAGCCATGATTCGTTCTCAGCCACAATAGCTAAACAGACAACAGGAACCAATGTTACACCTCGTGTTGTTCTGCGCCCCACCACACATAGTGACGCATGAGGCACAGAGTGTAACACCTGCAAGCTGATAGACACTCCTCCTATCTGAGAATCCGGTGAAGCAAGCTTGGCAGAATTACATCACATGTTTGTCGACATGGAATGGAAATGTCAAGCCCCCAACGCCAGGCAACTCGTAGTTCGCTCCTAAACAAATGTAGCTACTAAATTCATCATTGGCATGTTTGACCATCTCTATTAAAGCAGGAGTTCTGGCTCTGGAGAGCACAGGTGGGTTTTATCATGATGCTTATGAGGGGAACTAGGCCCTACAACAGAGGCTGTTCAACAATCTGGCGAGGATGTTAATGCCCTTACTGTTTATTCACAAATGGAAAGCATTTCGTGGAGCTTCTTCAGTCTTTTAAGGTGAAGGTTTATCAGTAAACCAAAGATGAAACAGGCTATTGCTACGATAAATAAAGAAAAAACATCAACTCTGACTCTATAGACCTCAGGTATTATCTTAGGATAAAGCTCATAGCATTAGGAAAATCAAAAACTGAAGAAGCTGTTTGGAAGCACCCACTTCTCATTCATAGAGTCAGCTATGGTCCCCTCTGTATTCCTAAACATTCCGACTTAATGCAACAGTGTTGCCCAAACTTGGTGAGGATAAAGGACAATGGATACCAGGAAAAGGAGGGAATCAAAGTCTTGCATCGGTTTAGTCAAAGTCATGGCATAAAGGATCCAAGAACAAAGCTGACTTCCACAAGGTTTTTATACCTGAAGACTTGAAATGTCAAAGCAGTTTAGGAAAACACCTCCTGGATTGTTAAACCAGTGACATGTTTGATGCTCATAGTTATACTGATGACTGTTTGCTGTTATCGTGAATCTCTGATGGCCTTTTAATATGAAACACAGAACATAACAGAACATAAATGTCTTAACAAAACTTTTAGAATGGTTAAAGTTTTTTTGTTTCCAACTGAAGCTAGGTTATCTGCTTCTGCAGAAAGCCGGACGAATTTAAGGTACATAGTCCCGTTATTTGACATCTTCTAAATTTACACGCCAGTAACTAATTCTGGTTGCATTCAATGTTTTTATGACAAATGACAGCGTCCTGCTGACGTAGTATTTTTTTATTTTGGTCTTTCAAGTTTAATCTTTTGCTCAGTTTCTTAGCAAATATAGCCTTTCTGTATATTATTTACCGTAACAAAATGAAACCTGGGTTACGTACCTGCATATGCATAGAACTGGTCAACAAGCCAAATCAATGGAGCTTTGAACTCCAAGCATTATTAGAAAAAAAATTCATAAACAAATCCAAGATCAAATTAAAAAAGGAGTAAAAAGATGTTGGATTCCAAGTGGGATAAAATTCGATTATTGCTGGAAAAAAATCTAACCGTTGGGAATTCACTGAAGCTGGAGCTAAAGGTCAGGAGGCACTCAGATGTCACTGTGAATTTGAAAGAATCATGAGTACATGTCCTAGCTAATATTGCTACATTTGGCTAACTTGTAATTCAGTGGTACTGCCAACAGGTGGTGCCACATCTGTTTATGTCAGCTAGTCACACGCAGTGCAGGGGTTCTATTTAGGCCAAAACGAATTATCAAAACACTATCAGGACTAAGGCAAGGCCATTTAATGCATTTGTAAAACACAATTTCCAAGCCAAAGAGGCTCTCAATTTTAATCAAACTACATTTAACAAGAATAAGACATTACATTTCTCCTTTTGGCCCTCTAGGGGGCGATAAAACTCTTAAAGTGGGTTTGTAGCCACTCAGAAAGGTAGAGAGAGTTGCAGCTAGCAGGTAGATCCATGCATGCAAGTAGAAGTAAGCACTTTTTCCACACAAAGGTTACAGTAAAATTGAAACAATGGGGTGAAACATCTACAAGTTTGGGATTAGTGCAAAGGAAAATCAAGGTAAAATTGCCCCCCCAAGACCACCCCCTCTTAGAAAGGGGGGGTGGTCTCAGGTTCCAGCTTTCAAAAACAGAACTCATTCCTTCCTGCTAATATTTCAACTCCCATCGCCATGCAGGGGACCAAAACACCTGGTCAGCCAGGCCAACAATGACCCTAACAACTCAATTTTCAAAGGCATTGACCAGTATGGGTTATTGCAGGCCAAAAACAACCTTCATTACTAAGGGGTGGACCTGTTCCTTTGCATGTTTTCTAAGCCATAAAAAGAGGCTTTCCTGGGCTACTCTATAAAGCTTGGAACTCAAAGCTAATCCAGACATTTTGAATTGAAAAAGCTTCCTGGATGGAAGCAAAATGTCTTCAAATTTGGAAGACAAAGTCGAGTGGGTTTTTTTTTTTTTACCTTTTTAACTTCTTTGGAAAAACTCTGACCTGGATGACTCAGAATCTTCAACAGCATATTGCAATTCTGGTTAAAAATAATCGCAATTTAGATTTTTGGCAAAACCTTTTAGCCCTAATCAGGGCAGACGGTTGGAGTATAGAGCATTATATTTTAATCATAATCTAATGGATTTTGGTCTTTTTGATACAAGCATATAACAGGACTATGGACCTTTAAGCTTGCAATATTAGCTTCTCACTCTTCAGTTAACAAATATTGCAACTGTAAATGTGTTTGTTCTAACAGCTATAGGAATAAAGGTTTTCCGTTTTAAATGAATTCTTTCAAAAAGAACAATAAGGGATCTTTCAGGTAAGATTGAAACTGCTCAAAACCTCTCAACATAACCCCCACTTTATTTAATGAATGTGTCCATTTTAAAGTATGATTATTTAAAAAAAACAGCTGAAAAAGGAGTTTCTAGATATCATCATCCTAGATAGAATGAACAAGACGCATTATTGTGATAGAGGTGCAGCATTTCTGAGACGATGGTAGAAGCAGCTGGCTTTTCAACCACCGGGCCACAGCCACAACACATGCACTGCCGAGCCATCCCAGTATTCAGCAGCCTCACCAACATCGCCACATGGTGGAGGGGAGGACTTCTCACAATGTAAAAGCTTCTGATGCTGTTAAAGCCGTGAATGCAGTGCTGCAAAGCGATGGGATGGCCTTCCTGGAGCACAGAGCCTAGCAAACTCTAAATGTAAAGTACACAGAGATTACGCGTGCGCCTCTCTGTTCCCGCCACCTCACAGACATGCACAAGCAGAAATGTACACACATAAACAGGCACACTATGCCATAGCTGTTGCTTCAGGACATTCACTGGATACAGAGACAGGAAGGCATATACAAACGGAGCTTACGTTCATTAAAGGCCTGAGAGGCCCAGCAGTGCAGTGCAGTAGTAAACTGTGAACTGCGAGGATCAGCGGCTCTAGAGCTCTGATCTGGAGTCAAAAATCACAGAGACACAGAGCCGCAGTCACATAACAGCGGCTGCTTTGGTGAGATGCTTCTAACAGCAGTCAACGTAGTAAAAAGATAATTCTGCAATGTTTGGGAGCTACAGTTGGGATGTTTGCGCTAGGTCGACTGATCAGGGCTAGGCGTAGAGCAGGAGGGGGTTTCCATAACAAAAGACCAGTGTGTTAGTCGCATGAGGCTTTTTTTTAGATAATACCTCAGATGCAGATCAAAAGTCCCATCTTACCTTCAGGTCCAGATATTCCAGGTCTTTCTTCAGCTGCATGTACGTGTCGTCGCTCTAGAAGGTGAAAACCATCCGATTACAAATTGGTGCATCAATTACATTAATGAGCAATGTGTCTGCACTGACATGCAGAATGAAAGCATTAAAAAAACATCAGACGCTGTATTGATTTGTGATCACTTGAAGATGCTCTACAAAGGACACAGAACAGCAACATAACCAGTTGAGGCTCTCAAACATAGCTAGGGTCAGCTGGGAGCTCATCTCACAAAACAGGCAACATTCAAAACGAGCTTCATGAAGACGACTGATAAGATCAAACTCATCGTCAGACGGACTGTTAGCTGAAGCATGGGATGGCTCTGTGGACGTCTAAGGGATCGAAACACACTCATGCTACGGAGACCAAATTGGATAAAAGCACGAAGATGGAGACGGATCAGACGGTGAGCAGGTGGATGGGTCTCTGCAGCCAGGCCGGCAGCGTCGAGTGACACCGGGGAGGAGGAGGGGTTTGGTAGAGGCTGCCACTGCTGATGCTAAGCTGCCGTTGGGTCTGGTCATCCAGTGTTCCAACCTTTGACATTTTTACCTTTTCCATATTAAAACCAAAAACTGTATCATATTTTATTGGGATGCCTTTTTTTATAAAGGCATCCCAATAACACAAAAAGGTAATTATTATAAATGATTTCACTTCTTTAGGGATTCTGACTAGCAGCTTTGCTATCTATAGGGTGGAACTAATTATTTACCATAAAGCCTGAGCTCTTATTGGATGGAAACTCTGTGGACATTAATTTTACATAAATACACTTTGAGAATATGTTTAAGGTCATGTCCGAGTTGAAACATAAACCTTTGGACCAGTCTGAAGTGTTTTGCAGCTCTAATAATCATTTTCCGACTTCCCACCCATGATGGTGCCACCACCATGTTTATTCCTACCATATTCAGGTGTGTGTGTTGCCTGTCTACCACACAATGCCTTTTACAGCTTCTGAATGAACATTTAGTGGCAGCCTCTACCAGTCGACAATACCGGGGTAGCCATGCCTCTCGGGGCCCCACCTGGGTGCTGCAAGGGCCCAGCGGAGCTAAAAGGCCAACGTCTCCGAGGTGTGACTCAGGAGACGGGGTGGCGCTGAGGAGCAGGGGGCTGTCCCCAGCAGGAGCTGTAGAGAGGAGCTGGTTTTGATGGTAGGACTCTCTGGGAGCGCGCAGCCTCTCGAGCTGAGCTAGGGTCTGCTGGCGTACGGAGGCCATCTTGGCCTGATGGCGGCGCAGCTGAATGAGGAGCAGGGTAAGCTCCTCTGGCTATCGGGGGGGAGGGGAGTTAGGGGAACAGGAGAACTCAGTCCAGCAGGTTTTAACACTGACCCACACCCTTAAACAAGTTACTTTGATTCCAGAGCCCTGGAGCTAATCTGTTTTCTGACTTTAGCTGATCACAACGAGCCAAACTGTGGCTTAATTAAAGATTAATGAGGCTGAAACCAAACAGCTAACACACACAAAGTTGACTCGACAGGCGAGCAGGGAGCTTTTTACTCCCTAAAAGATATCCTGGGGAAACTAAACCAAATGATCAGTGTTATGTGGAAATGAATCCCCATTTGATCATTAAGCTCCTCAGCTGACAGTAACGAGAACCTCCACCACCCGGCCTATAACATCACGCATGTATAAAGAGGGTATGTAATGATAAATGTACCGTCTTCCCATGAAGGCTGGGTGCACTGACTGTGTGAGTGATGTAGCCAGTTGGAGGCATTGAGCGTCTCTCATTAGTAGCAGCCTGCAACACAAAAACATGCATGTTAGGTAGAATTAGAGCTACAGAGTCAGAGACTGATTTACTGTCAGCACAAGTTAAATATGTGAATAAAACAGGAAAAATGATAAAGTCTAAGTGAACAAACGTTGCCTCAGAAAATGGACTGTATGAATGGCAGAATGGGAATACATTGATATTATTTGAATGTAATAATGATGACCGTTTTACTGCTGCTTCACACCTTCACTGCAAACATGTAAATCTAAGTAGATTTTCTTTAAAATAGGCATGTTTTACCTGATTTCAGCAGTTAAGGAAGAGAAACTGCCAACAGAATAAGTAAGTATTTTATGTTTAAAACAGGAAAATACTGCTTTTATTTTAAGGGAAAAAGACTCATTTTGTTGGCAATGACCTGCTCAAATGACAGGTACATTTGTTGGTCAACAAGCCTAAGGACAGGAGTAGAGAATGAAGGTTCCCAATCAATCTGAACAAGTTTGATCTGTTTTCCAAAAAAAAAAACTAAAAAAAAAATGACTGGAAGGTCGAACAACAAAGAAAAGTGGTTCTAAGGTGGTTCTATAATGCAGTAGATGAATGCAGTAGTAAAAAAAATATATATATATATTTATCTCATGCTGGCATAAAATCCCAAAGAAGAGTTTGTTTTGTACAGTAACAAAATATCAAACAGTTTCAGGGGTATGAATACTTTGGATCTATGCTTTGTTCTTCAATGTATGACAACCAAATATAGAAGCATCCTCTACCATCTACAGCAGGTGCGTGAATGTGCTTCTGATTCTGTTTGGTCTTATTTTACCTTCAGCATCTGAGATTTGCTTCTGCGGGGGGACACGTTGAAGGGGACGTTCAGAGCCGGCATGTCCCCCGCGGGCCTCACCGTCACCCGTCCGGCAGGAGTATGTGGCCTTCGATTGGGCGACAGTGTTCTGCTGGTTCCAGGAGGAGGCCCCGGTGGAGGGATGTCTGCGGCCGAAGGCGGCACCGACACGCAGCGGGGAGCCCCCTCTGGCCTGCGTAATGAGGAGGAGAGCGGGACAGTGGAAGAAGGGCGGGGGCCAAAGGGGTAGTCCGGAGCGGGGGTATAGATCGGCGCGGTGGGGCTCCCGTGGCGAAACTGCTGGCGCTGCTGCCATTCATACAGCTGCAGCACAGTGTTGGACCCCTGGGCCCCCCGGTCTGGGGTGAGGCGGAAGTGGTTCAGGCGGTCGTGGGCGTACTTGTACTCGCTGAGTCGGCCGGGCTGGGGGCTATGGCGTGGAGCTTTTGGCAATGTCTGATAGGCATCCATCGATGTGTACTTGTGCTGGGTTGGTGGCGTTCGACGGGGGAGGGTGTTCTCTCTGGAGGGGGGGCTGTTAATAAGAAAGAGACAGAGAGGATTTCTCCTGGAAACAGTAATCATTGTAAGTCGTTGTATGCAGAAGCTGTTGCTATGGTGACCTACCCCCTCTGCTCAGCCTTCTGGACTTTAACCCACTGCTCCACCTGCTCCAGGGTGTTTCTCCTCTTCACATGAACGAAGGCGTCAGACGCCGCTGGCTCCGGCACCCTCTGGTACGTCCCCGCCGCGATGCCGTTGGGCTCCAATATGGGGCTGGGAGTGGAGACCAGCCCGTTCCTCGTAAGGCTGGATGGCAGCGTGGATGTGGCCCGCGACGGAGCATGGGATGGCACCCTGGACACGGGCGCAGAGGTGGACATGTGGTCCGACATTGGCAGCAGGCTGGATGGGAGGGAGCTCTGTGTGTCCATTTCCAGGGCAGAGCTTCCTACGGGACGCTCCAGCGTAATAACACCTGTGTCTTTGTGAAAGCTGCAAAGCTCATCCGTGTTGTGATGCATGGGCTCCAGCAGAACCTCGTGGACTATTGTGTTTGTGTTCTCAGAGTCTAAATTCTTGGTCTTCTTGTGGTTCACGTTGTTCGTCTGTGGAACAGCCTGTTGCAACAACCTGTTGTTCTCAGTAGGTCTGTAAATAAAGACACAACAGGAAAAAAAAAACTTTTACTGCTTTGAAACTCTTACAGACAACAAAATGAGCTCCAAAAACATTTGTGATGCAAATTCCAAAACACGCAACTACAAAAAAACTAATGCAACAGAAAAACACTGAAAATAAAAGAATACTGCAATCAAAAACTACAATAAACAAACAGCAACCGCAAACAACATGCTGCAAGAAAAAACAAAATGCTGTACCACAGAAAGAAAATTAATCAAACGGTAAGGACAGCAGCAAACTTGCTCTAAAAAACGGAATTCCTATAGGCCACTAGGGGGTCGTTGGAAAAAAAAACATTCCATATTGAAACAAACCCTGACTATAACCAGGAAGTTCAGCTTTAACACAGGACTTGGAAAAAAAATAAAAGTTGGAAGAAGAAATGGGAGGGTTGCTATATTTCATTTAATTGTAAAACACATAGTCATGTTTAGTGATATAACACTCTTCAGATAGGGTTTGTTCAACTCCCTCGAGTGGTTTGGAGCACTCCCATTTTTTTTTAGAGTGAGTTTGCAGCAGTTTTTACCATTTACACCATGTTTTCTCTGTGATTGCAGATTTTTTTTGTTTGCATTTGTTTTGTTCATTGCATTGTTTAGCTTTTATTTTAATGATTGCAGCACTTTCTGTTTGCAGTGTATTTCTTTTAGATTTGCCTTTTGTGCTTGTATATTCTGGAGATTGCATCATGCATATTTTTACAGCTTGTTTCGTCGTTTTACGGCGCATTTACCATAAAAACTTTGTCCCTCTAAAGCATTCACAGAACATCTAGATTTATGCACAGAGTGGATCTCCATTAAGAGTTCGGTTACTATAAAGGCAGTCACTGGATTTGATGATGGAATAAATCTAAAGACAAAAGCTTACCACGCTTTTCAGATTTTTGATTGGAAAAAAAATGTCCCTTTTTCTTAGTTAAATATTTTTACCAACTGTCTGTGTATCCCGCTAAATTCCCCATTTGGTTGTCCCCTGACTGTCATATCAGTGCTGAGACACATAGTTACATAGTTACAGCTGGAGACAATTCAAATAACAGTTAGCTTCGGTCAAATGTTCATTTTTGTACATAAATGAGGAAGTCAAACAATTGTAACCTTAAGCCACAAGTAAAACATCCTTAAATGAAATGTACACATTATGAAAAAAGTTGTTTATACTCCTCTTTTAATGAAAAAAAAACAAAAAAAAACACAATGGTCAGGTATAACTTGAATCTCGCAAAAGTTATTTTTTTTTTTACATTTTTAATCGGAACATGCAGTTAACCCCTAAACCAGAAGGTGGTAGCAGTGAGTATTGACAGCTTCAGCGTTGAACAAAAAAAAAAATCCAGAAGTATTAGATGGAAGGCTACGGTCGAATCACAAACCGCTCCCTAATCATTAACACTTCACTATCAAGTGTCACTCAGCTGAGGAAGGCGAGAAAAGAATGGGAATCCCTCCAACAGAAAAAGAAGGCAGCCTTTGCTAAGGCAACACAGTTACGCCCCAAATGCGTGGCTGTAGCTCTGCGGCGCAGCGTGACATAAAATTAAACATTTGCCTCTTTCTAAAAACAAATGAAAATAAAATAAAACTATTTCAAAGAGAACCTTCCCTTTTGGAATGAATGATTTTTTTTCTTATACCTGGTTTGTCGTTTTCAGTCAGTGTAATAAAGATGCAGCAAACCAGAAGAACTTATATTTAAACATACTCGTTTTCTCCAAGTCTATGGTGTCACATCTATTTCAAAGCATCCACGAGCAAAATTAACATACTTGCATGTATGTTAAATTACTTATGCACATGGTTTATCTACCACCACACAACAAAATCACACAAACACGAGAAACTACCGGTTTGTGAGAAGAAAATTGCTCTTCGCATGCGGCAACTCCTCTGACGCGTGCTTGGGATTGTGCTTCGGGATCTTACTAAGTGCACGTCCACTGCATGTTCTCAAAAGTGGCAGCCTAGTGGTTAGGGCATAGAATTTGGAATCCTAAGGTTGTGAGTTTGAAAACCAACTCCCACAGATTGTACTCTGGATCTCTAAACAACACCCTTAAAAACCCTGATTGCGCACGATGGCAGCCCACTGCTCCCCAAAAGGATGTGTTAAAGGCATAGTTAAATTTCTCAAATGTGAGATCAATAAAGTTCAATTATTATTTTGGAAGCGTCTCTGCCCTCGGACTGATTTTCTTCTTGCACGAAGGACAATGTGTTTTGACAGTTTGGGAGAAACAAACCTCCTTTATAAGCAATTTCAAAGAGGTGTTGCTCTTTTTTTGTAAATGTAATTCTGTTGAGAAAAAGGTTTAAATTTACAAAATTCCTATTTTATTTCTCTCTGCAACTTTAAATTTACAGTTGTATTGTACAAATACTTATGATCCACAATTACCTTCATACCATAAATTATTTAAAAAAAGCTATGTTTGTTCCCCAGCATCTCTGCTCCAAAAATTATTTATTCCTAAAAGCTTCTTAATTATCATAATTTTACCAAACAGAACATCATGTTCCAATAATCAGCATGTTTGGGTCTTCGTTCTGTTGTCCTGAACAGACTTTAAACAGGACTAAATGCACTGTGCACATCTGGGTTTTTTTTAAAGCACCAGTGACAAGCACAGCCTTGAAGACACAAGCTGAGATAAACTGATTAATAAAACCCAACGTAGAAGAGCCTTGAGAACTATTTAGGTTTCTGTCATGAAAGCAACCTTGCATAACAATAAGAAGCCTGAGGTGCCAAGATTCTCCTTCCCTGCAGCTAATATCTAAAAGTAGATCAGGAAAACCAGCAAACTGCTGAATGACTTAACCCCATTTGATATTAGCTTCAAAGTATTTTGCTACTGCTTTCGCATTCTGTCAATATTCATTTTACATAATAAACCTCATTTAAAAACAGAAACAAAATGCCAGACATCAAGCATGCTCCTGTCCCAGCCTCTGCGATGAAAAACACAAAGCAAGTGAGGGAGCTTTAAAAGAATTCCCAGCTGGAAGCTGTCTGGAGCTCGCTTTTCTTTCTGTCATTCAGAACCAGGCAAAGAAGCGTTGTGGGATTCCCTCTTGTAAGAACAGTGTAATGAGAAAGGATAGGGGTAAGCGAGGGGGCAGTGGGAGCTGAGCCTGCCAGTGAGAGACTGCACGTATTTGATCTGCGCTACCTCCCATTGCTGACGCATTAATATTACATGGAGAGAGACGCTTTTTGCTTCAAAAACACCATCATCTGAAGGCAACTTCCCAAACCAGCCAAGTACAAAACAAGCAGAGAGCAAAGTCAGACAGAGAGGAAAATAAAGAAGTCATGCATGTTAACTAAGGCTGTTTGATATTGACTTCTATGAGAGTTTGAACACTTAAAGAGACTGAAGGGGAGTGTTTGTCCAACGGCTGCAAAGAAACCAAAAGTAATGGTATGTTCAGCCCAAAATACGATTAAAGTGTCAGCTGCGTTTGGTTTTCATGCAAAGTGTGCATAGTGTACGTGTTTCTTGGGACGCTGAGATATCCTGTGGTGTGTTACAGTATCTAATGCAGCGAGTGTTGCCATTTCCAACGTTCAAAGCAGCAGGAATTGGGATATCTGAGCTATTGAAGGCATGCCACATCAATTAACCAGAAAAGCTCAGCCGCAGTGATGTGGCGCAGTGATGGAAAGCAGCGCTCACCTGCACACAGTTTCTAGGGCAGATGGTGAAACTTGCTAAACGCTGAACAACTCTGAGCGCCAAACAACGATGTTCTCCCTCATTCAGCAAATAAGGTTTCTATAGTAACCCATTAGTTAATAACAAATAGTTGTTTTTTTCTGTCTACTGGTCTCTGTTTGAGTTTTATCACTTGATCGAGCCTTTGTTAACACTGCACACTACAAAATAAGTAATTAAAGGTATGTATGGTTCATGATTAGGTCAGTTCGATTGCATCAGGCAGCCGTGGAAAAGATTACAAGGAAAGCTAAATTATCATTATTAGGATTTCTAATACTTCAACTATTTTTACCCTGTTGCATTTTAATCTTAGAAAATATGATTGACGGTTTGTATGCTGTTTAGCAGATTAACTAAGCTAATAAATGGAACCGGTGTGCCTATGATTTTTAGAGATCGACTGTCATTAAGATAAAGGACTTTTTTATTGGACTTTCATAGCCAGGACATAAAACAGTCTAATAAAAAAGACCTTTCTTTGTTTGTAACAATCACAGCAGATGACTGCTGCCACGTCAGAAGCAAAAACACAAGAATGCAAGGAGGAAATTAAAATGAATAAACTTTCCTGAACATTGTGAACTATCTGGGTTGATTTTTTCAAACAATTTTAAATTATATTAAAATGAAAGATTGAGGCTAAGTTAAGACCTGTAAAGAATGTAACAAATTTATCACAAAAACGCTTCTAGAAAATAAAATAATAGAATCTTAGGACTGTAACAGCTATTAAGTTATTTGCTCTGCAGAAGAGAGGGTATTTTATAAAGCTTTATTAGATACTTTTGAAGCTTGAAATAATTTATTCTGTAATCCTGAAAATAGAGCTAAACTTTTAAATAACAGAAGAAAATTGATTCTCAAACAAAAATAAATATCCAGGAGAAGATGGGTTCAGCAGCTTATATAACAGTTTCTGTGCAGGCCTGAATTTCCCCTTAGTTTCTTTTATGTTAATCTTTGGCCATCACACTAAAGAATTTCACTTTATTCTTTAAAGCATACCAAATATCTGAGTTAATAAAGGTAACATTATTATGATAATAGATTTTCTGTCTAGATTTTTCATCATTTGAGAAATTTTAACTCCCTTACTGCAGCCAATCGGTGCACAGTGCGCAGTAAATGGGAGAAACAAAAGATTTCCTCATGGTAATTTGTTTTGGACCTTAAACCTTTTTTCAGAAATTTGATTTGAACATTAGAAAGAAAATTTTAAGAATCCATTGACCTATGCTATCTTTTTCAGCAAAGATGCTCCTTCCAGCTACTGAATCATTCAGGGTTGGGCTGTGTAAAAAAATACTTTTTCCAACTCTGAGCTAACTCTTTTAGTTAAATACTAAAAATGGATTCATATCACCATAAATCGATAAAATAAAAAGGATATTCCTGTCCTCTTAGAGCTGTCATTGATTATTATTGTGCTGCTGAGAGTTAATATAACTCAGTCATGTAATTCTGACAGCAGCAAAAAAAAAAAAAGGGTTTTGTTTGGTTTCTTTTTCTTATATCAGCAATTAGATTCTTGAAACCTCAACCCTAATTTAGAGTAAAATAATATTCATCTTTTTTTGATAAATAATACATTTCTGTTGTGTGTTTTGAACACTAAATGTAAGGTTGAAATAATTTTGAATGGTTTTATCTTTGTAAATGCCTAAACATTTGTTGGTGCCCCTCATTTATGAAATAAAAACCCACAATGGTCACAGAAATGACTTTATTTTCAGACATCCTTTAACAGAATGCTTTCAGAACATAAACTCGTGAAAAAGGTCAAAAATTTAGGTCCTCTTAACTTATTATTTTGTTGCCCAACATTTTGAGGGAATTGCGGAAAATAAGCGATTGCTGTTACTCCCAGTGAGACTTCTGCTCCTTTCAGCAGGTGTTTTGTTTCCGCTCCTCATGAGAAGCTGCTCCTGTTATATCAGGTTTGAAGGGAGCCTTTTCCTGACGACACGTCTCTGCTCCTTTTCCATTTAATGATGCTCAGTATGATTAAGGTCAGGATTCATAGAAGGCCTGTTCAGAATAGTCTGATGTTTTTCTCTTAGCCATTATTGGATCTGTGTGTTTAGTAATTCTGGAATCCTTCATGAGATTCCATTGAACCCTGCAGAGAATCAGACACCCTGTTCTAGATGAAAGCAGTCCCAAAACATAACAGAGCCTCCCCCATGTTTCACAGATTGTTTTCTTGATATGTTTCATTTTTCTGTGTGTGAACATAACGCTGATGAGCCTTCGTGAGTAAATCAATTTTTCTCATTTGGCCATAGCACATTCAACTAGAAGCTTTCTGGGTAGTCAACATGTAGTTTGATCAATTTCCCTTTTTTCGTTTGTATTATTTGTTTTCCACAGTTTTGTTCTACTTGGTGGTCTCCCATTAAGTCCACTTTAGCTCAAACAAAATGGATAGTGCAATCCGACTGATATTTCTTGAGCTAGAAGTTCACCTTTAATCGCTCTAAAAGTTTTTCTGGACACTTTTGTTGTAATTTCTATTATCTGTCCCTTTAATTTGTTACCAATTTTTATCCTACAGCCACCTCATTGGGCATTGCATAGTATTCTAATTATACTGCCCTCTGTGGACGAAACAGAGAACTGCAGCCCTTTTTTTACTCATTGTCATAGCACGCACACGTACTTAACAATTTTTTAAAACTTTTTTCACCTAATGTGGAGTTGCCATCAGTGTCTGAGTTGGGCTGGATGCCTGTCGCTTCTGAGTATCCACAAAATCCAGGTTGAATATATATAATATAAAGCTATGATTGGTTGCTAGGTTGGATCCATTCAACATGGTTGCACTTCATGTCACATCTGTTGCTTATAGATGCATTGGCGCTGAACTACTGAGGTGTCAGTCTGCTCATCAAAGGATGTTTTACTTGTAACAGGTCAAAGAAAAAGGCAATTTTTAAGGATATTTTTAGTAAAAACTTAGATAATGTCTCTTTATATTTCTGAATAATAAGGGCAACATAAGTAGCTTGGGGATTGTCTCATATCCTTTACCTTTAACACGCTTGTCCATAATTTTCTCCTGAGACAACTCTGTCCTTTGCTTCCTCTGGTACATGTTGAGTGTGGTACAAACCAAGTCACCAAACAACACAGAGCCTACCTTTAGCCCTTTATCTAGGCCCACTGACTGATTACTAGATTTTTTACACCTGTGATACTAGAATGTAATATAATTTCAGTTATGTTTGCTTGAATATATTTGTTGCAAAGGCCTACCTGAGTGTGTCGGGGTGGTTCTGCATCAGCGCAGCCTGGTTCATGGCCTTCAGCCATATACTCATGTCCTCCTGGGTGTCAGCGCTGAAGTAATACGTTCGCATCCCAGTGTGCTCTGCCTGCGAGCCAATCACAGAGCTCTGCTTGTAAATGTATGAGCGCATACCAGTGTGGCTAGCCTAAAGGAAAAGAGCAGAGGCTGGGTCAGGTGGTAAACAGAGCCGCATCATCTAAAGAACAGCGCCGGGGTTCGAAAAGACAGGGCAGCATGCTGTCCAATGAGGCAAAAACAAAACAAAAACATCAATGACAACACAAGCACTGACCAATGCAGAGAGAAGTCACACAGTACAGCTGCACAGACAAAAATATTAGGGATATAGGTTCAACAGCAGCCGCAACCTTCACCAGTGTAAAGAAGGGCAGATTGAGATGAAGGAAAAAAAAAAACAATATACAAGTTTAAATGCAAATCATCCTTTACAGTGTTACACACACCACAGGACCATGAGATGGACAAAGTAAGGACATGGACTACAACAGTCCTTTTAAGAGGTACTCAAGGTTTAATTGCACCAAACTGGCTCCTGTACATTTTATGCTTATAGTGATTGAAGTGACGAGTCTTCAGGTTTTCAAATGTTTCATAAAAAATTAAATAGATGATTTAGATCTAAGGCTGATTGCTATTCTTTGGTAGATGGCCTTTTGTAGCCTTGTAGCAGCTCCCGTACTAAAAACAAAACATCCCCACAGCATGTATTTACAAATTTTGTATGGAGGCTGTGAAAGATTAAGGTTTTTATTTAATCTGAGGACGTCTTTCCTTCTTTCTTCTTAGTGAATCCTCCACATATTCTATAGATATTCGCAGCTCCTCCAGATTCATTTCCGATGAAATGCCCTCTTTGATGGGAGTTTTAGTTTACCTGGACCGCACAAACAGCTACTGAGATTAAATTACCCACATTCATCTTAGAAATAATAGATTTTGGGGCATAAACTGTGAAGAGGCCAATTTTCTCCTTATATTTCTCTTTATATTATCGAGTGGTATGAATAGTCTGCGTGGTGCTAAATCTGTAAATGGATGCTGTTGTTCTGTCTCATATTTGCACCTATTTTGTGAATAAGTCTCTACAGTATTTTTTCCATCTTTTCGCCACTGTCTCAAGTGGCTCTAAAATATTTCTTTTTATTGCCGCTCAAGGTTCAGAACCATCCCTTTTATTTCCCAGGCTGATGCACAACAGAGAGACCCACAAGGTTGCATGGCTACTTTGGTTGAGTGGGTGGAAACAGCAGAGAAACCAGACAGCAGCAGCCAGAGATGGAAATCAGGGAGGCGTTTGAATCAGAGTGTTTCCTTCTTTAAAAATCAGATTGTTTGCGACTGCTGTGGCAAGTAGACCTTTAAAAGATATCAGCGGTCTCCCTCATAGGTTACTGTACCAAGTCCTGAGAACAGCTTCAGGAGGTAGATACTAAGAAGCTTTCTGATTAAAAATCCATTAAGAATTGATTACAGGCTGAGAATATTCCAGCTTCACCGCTCAACCTCTGAAACCGAAGAAACACAAAATCAAATGAGAAAAAAATAGGAGGAATTTATCTGGAACAACTGCTAAAATAATTATTAGGCTTTAAGGGTCGGATTTTCAGAGGATTTCTTTGTCTTAAAACAGGTGCAAACCTGTTTAGACAAGCAAAGAAGATCTCTAAAAGAGGGAAAGTGATTTTTTGGGTTATCAAATCAGCGTACAGGTAATGCAAACCATGCCTTCATCAGTATGCTGAACACAGTTTACCGATGGAAGATACGTAAATGAGAACATTTACCACATGCAAAGACATTTTGCAATTGGAAACTCAACTACGGCTGCAGCTTCTGCTTTTTTTCTGTTCTTCTGAAAGTCAGGTAATGGTATGATGCCAAAGGATGTAATCTTTGGTCGTGTAAACATACTTGGACCGTCTGAAATAACAAGGTTGACTGATATTGATATAAAAGGCAGAGTCTACACAGCCTGGTAAAGTAATGCAGCAGGACGGCACGGCATCTTTATGCAATTAAACCAAATAGAGAAAAAAATGCTAAAAAATATTGTGTGTGTGTGTGTGTGTGTGTGTGTGTGTGNACAACAAAGATAAACTTTTTTTCTCCTTTGTTCGTAGCACTGTGAGACAGTCTATGAGGTGTACCATGAATATTATTTGGTAACATCTCAGTTTTTTTTTTTTTTTTTAGATAGTTATTATTTTCTCCATGTCTTAGAATCTCATCTTTCTTTTACAGCCACATTCAAACTGCCAGTGGAACGCCCAATCTGTTCATTTTAATGGCAGGAACTAAATCGGTTTTCCTGTCTTGATATTTGAGCATCCGTCTTTGTAAATCCACCGCAACACACCTATTTACTGGATGTACCACAAAAGAAAATTGCATGTGCAATTTATGCCTTTTATTTGAAATCTTTAGGGAGTCTCTGTTAATTTATAGAGTACAGTTATTAGATCAACTTACAAGTTGATCTGAGATCAGCACTTTTGGAACACTTTATCTTTCTATCGTTCCTCGCTCCATTGCCAGCAGACAAAAGTGTGGTCTTCGCTTGAGAGCAGATGCATTTAATGAAAAGTAATGAAACAATAAATCTCCCATACTCTGATCCTTCCTCTGTATAAAGGATTGCGGGATAGACGATTTCACTGGGATCCACTATAGCTGCAGCTGATACTATTTTTTCTCTGTTTGCTTGGTTTCAGTGAAGACCTGAATGTGTTTCGGCAGCTTTCCTTTCTTGTGTTGTCTGTAAAATACTGCACATTATGCCCGCAATGGAACGTACATAAAACCCACATTCATTAATAAACCAGACTGTGACCCCCGCTGTTCTCTCTGTGATACTATAAACTCTAAATAAACCCTATCAAAGGAGCAAACAACATGTCTGCTTCTGAAAGAGCTGCTGGTGTTCACACGGGCTGGTTCCAGGAGCTCAAACTTAGCCCTGATTAAAACACAAACGTCTTGAAATACAGCTCTCTGGCTCAGCATGGAGGAACATGTGCTTGACCCTGACTTGATATTTGGAGCTGATTGCACTGTAAGCTTGACTCAACCAGGACTCAATAACCTGACAAGCATGCCTGCTCTTTTACAGGGTGGTCAGGTCGGCTTTGCATGAGTGAGCTGACAAAATTCAGACGGTGCAAAGGCTGGATTTAATGCTTGGGGATTTTTTTTGTCTCTATTCATTCCACTCTGCTGGTGACACTGCAGGCCTGATACTAGGTTTTATTTTTTGTTTCATTTCTAACATACTGGACGATGATTTGCTTTAAAATACTTTACTAAAAATATATGTATCAATGGTGTTTGGGACATCAAATATTTATAATAATATATATTTTTGGACTTAAAACTGTTTGCTCTAAAATAATCTGTTTATTATTTCTTCATATAAGCTGTTTGTCATTTTTATTATAATTATCTTTTTAAGATTTATTGATTCATCAATTGAATAAAATTAAAAAAGTTTAGAATTAACGTTTCTATATATCAGTCAACAGAATGGTTGCTAGCATGAGGAGGAATTGTTGCACAGCGCTTGGTGATAAAATATCTACGTTTAATTATCTGGAAATAATCATTAGTGGAACAAACTACATCCATCATGCACTGGGAAGAAAACCAAAGCTCCTCCTGGAATATTCCTTCACTCTGAGGCTTATTGTTTTTAACACAATCTCTAATATATACAGCGATGGATCATCAAATTAGAATATTAACAAAAAGAAAACAAACGTATTTGTTGCAGTAACTCAGTTAACCTGTTAAATGCCGCGTCACCTCAACGGTACGTATGTTGTACCAAATCTGCAGCTTCATCCCACCAAACTAAAGCTACTGTCCACTATTACAACTGCTTTATAAGACAGGCTGGACCCTGCCAAGGCTTAAAGAACAGCAGCTGATTTGATTAAGGCCTTTTTAGGCGTTTTAGGTTATTTTTTATCAGGCCAGTTAACAGGTTTAAAAAGTAAAATTGGTGTTTTATAGAGAATTACTACACGTGAAGTCATATATTTTACAGTTTGTTATGTTTTGATCATCATACAGCTATAGCCGAAAAGTTAGTCTGTCAGATTGTTTAGCTTTAAACAGACTAAAAAGGATTTATAATATAGAAATGTGGGCCTTCTGAACAGATATATTAATGTACTGAGAGATATCAGAGATATTTTTGCATGAATTCCAGGACTCTTGAAGTGTTGAGGAACTCAGGTTGATTTAATAGTGGCCTTCAGCTCGCCTATTTGTTATATTTACGTCTCTCATCTGGTTTTCTATGGGGCGAGAAAACTCAGTCACTAAAACAAACACAAAACAGGCCAAATGCTAAGCCAACTGAACTTAGCCGGTAGAAGCAGGTATTGGTGCCTTTGACCATGTGGGCTGGTACCAAGTTCTGCTGGAGAAATAAAGTTACAAGTGGTAGCAGAGCAAGGCAGATGTGCTCTAAAATGTCTTGGTCAAACAGTCATCCAGATTTTAAACTTGATAAAAGATTGTTGACCAACAGCGGCAGATGGAATGGCTCCATAAGTGACCACAAGGGACCTTAGACCACTTGGATTCTGTCACTTTCTGATCCTTCTCCAGTCTTTGAGTTAAAATAAAAAATAAAAAAAAAGGATTCTTATTTGGTGCTAAAGTCGAGTGCCGCTAAAATCTCTGTTACTTCTGTCCCTTTTTGCACACATTGTCCTTCCACTTAACTTTCTGATAAGATGCTAAGGTGCAGTATTTCACCAAAGTTTCCTACATGAGCCAGAATATCAAATAAAATAGCTTTTGATAATCACACATTATTGTTTGGTGTAAATGCTTTCACAACATCATTGTTTCAAATCAAAGGCACTCTGAGGCCACAGCCGTGTAAAAAAAGCTGCTTATACTTGAATGTCTTATTTTCTATTGATCAGCCTCTCATTATGTGTCTACAACAATGTTTACCAGCTACTCTGGGGTTATTTCAGGAAGTGTTTTCTTGTTATTACAGACACCTTTTCTTCCCAAAAAGCTCTTTAGTGTTCGGAACTATTTAGATTGGTGGATTGAAACAGATTGTGGAAAAGGCTCATCAGGATGCAGCCTGTATTATACAACATTATA